GTGCCTTTGAGCATCTGGAAGGGAAACATGCTATTCACTCTTCCCACAGTGGTGGCTGAGCTGAGACAGCCCTGGTGTGTCCCCCATAAACTACAGTGGGGGCCAAAATTAGCCATCTCCCAGCCATAGATGCCCAAACTGTTTCTTCCCTTACAGTAGCTATGGCCCCCAGTCTTGATGGCCAGATTTCTATCAGTAAAAATTCCATGTGTTCGCTGGACTCTCACTGAAGGAGGTGTACAGACAAGCCAGAAAACGAAACAAATAACAATGGAAATGAAGAGCTTCCCAAATACAGGTTGGAGAGGATTCTTACCTCTAAGAGACTTGAGCTGCATGTTGTCTCCAGAGCTCTGCCTGCATAGAGCGGCAGAGCCTAGGTTAGGGCTGCATGTGGTCCCTGGTGCTGAAGGAGAGCCTTTCCTAGTGGCTCTTTAAAGGAACAACATGCTTCAGTGGGTTGCTTCATCACCAGACCATAATGCTAGCGATCTTAGCCAGTTCACATCTACCTCTTAGATGCAAGCCATCCTTGGCATCGTTTTGGTCCCATTGTAGCACAAAGCCTACCGGGAGTCAAGAACCACTCCTTACCTGTCTGTACCTGTTAGTGCTGTAGACACAGGACATCACATGCACTTCTCTCTTGGCAGTAAGTACTAGTGCACTGTGATGCCTCTCAAGAGAGGTGGCATTGAATTCAAGATAGTTTTTCAATCTCAATATTTGGAAGTGGTTAGCTATACTAAAGATGAGTTACATGTTTCCTGTAGGGCATTATATTGTAGAAATTTAAAATATTATTGATATCCCTTAAGACAAATATCCTGTCTGTACTTCTTTAAAAATTTTTCAGAAGTTCACAGACAAACTTTTAAAAGGTAGGTTAAATTTTAAAGTAGGTTAATTTGTAAAAAATGCCACCAGGATTTGAACTTTTTGGTTAATATATACACTATTTAGAGAATTATGAAAATATTCAGTATTTCTTCCTATCAGATGAACAATACATTGCTCCATTTATTTGAGTTTTTTAATTGTTTTCTGGTGAAGTTCTATAGATTCACAGTTTAGGTTCTACATATTGCTTTACTATGAGCAGGTTCACTGGCACTCACATAATCCCAGGTACTAGGGAGGTTGAGGCAGAAGAATTGTGAATTTGAGGCCAGTCTAGGGACACAGCAAGACTCTGCCTCTCAGAAAACAAAAGTATAAGAAGTTGACTATCTTGAAATGTTAAATAGATAATGGTTTTATAGTGTTTTACACATGAGTCTTTATGATTTCTTGTTATAAAGGTTTTAAAGATAATGTTTTTCCATCTCAGGAGACAGTCATATCATTTTGAAGTAATGTCCACGCCTTTGTTACATTTGTTGTAGTCTCAGTAGATTTAATTCTTAATTTTAGACAAGAGCAGCTAGTCTTTACCATTAATTGTGATGTTACTTGTCGGGTTTTTTAGATATTCTTTTTTGGGTACCGGGGATCAAACTCAGGACCTTGCATTTACGAGCCAGGAACCACTGAGCTAAATCCCCGGACCTATATATTCTTTATAAATTTGAGGAAATTCCCTTTTATTTTTGTCTCAATGAATGATTTTTTATTTATAAAAGTGTTTTGATTTTTTTCAAATTCCCTTTCCGGATCAATTGAGATGACCATATATTTTCACTTTCTTATATTAATATGGTGTTATATGTTAATTGGCTTTTTTGGATATAAAATCAACTTTACGATCTGTGACAGATCTCACTTAGTCATGGCATATAATACTCAATATGGGGCCAGGGATTTAGCTCAGTGGTTCCGCCGCCTGCCTCACAAGCAGAAGGACCCGAGTTCGATCCCCGGTACCAAAAAAAAAAAATACTCAGTATGTATGTTGTTGGATTTGCTTAGCTAATATTTTATTGAATATTCATGAGTCCATTCTCATAGAAGATACTGACCTATAGTTTCCTTTTGATATCTTCATGTGACTTTAGTATTAAGGTTAATGTTGGCCTCATACAAAGATTTGAAGATAATTTTCTCATGCTCTATAAAATTGTAGTTCTTAAAAAATTTTGTAGAAATTACCAGTAAGGTCAGCTGATCTTGGATTTTCTCTGTGAAAAGTTTTATAACTACTAACTCAATTTGTTTACTTGTTATAGTTCTGGCAATATTTGCCATTTCTTTGTGAGTCAATATTGGCAGATTGTGTCTTTTTAGGAAATTGTATATTTGATCCAAGTTATACAATTTATTGGCATGTAATTCTTATACTTATCTGACCTTTTCTGAGGTTGGTAATGATGTTCTTTCCTTCATTTATAATTTAGGAATTTGAATATAGTGTGGATAGTCCCTTCTTTAGAGACTGTTCTCCAGATTTTAAATCTGAAAATAATGTATATTAAAAACAGTTTTGCTTTTCAACCAAGCGAGCATGGTACTGGTCAGCAGCTTCACAACACACACTTGGGCTCTGTTAAAGTTCATTCTGCCCTTCCTATATAAACCATACCCTTTATTCATCGATCTAAGATTTTTGTCAGTGGGCTAATATTTGTAAAGAACCAATATTTGGTTTTGTTGATTTCTCTCTGTTGTGCATTTTAGTTCCACTTCTATTTTTATTACTTCCTTATTCTTGGCTTTAGTCATTTTTTTTCTTTCTCCACCTTCCTAAGGTAGTAAGTTTTTGATTTGATACCATTCATCTTTTTAACATATGTTGTTTATAGCTATAAATTTCCCTGCCACTGCTATCTCAGCTGCACCTCATAAGTTTTAGTTTACTGCTTATTTATTTGTATTTATTTCCAAATTTTCTAATTCTTCTTATGGCTTCTCCCTTGATTTTTTGGTTATTTAGGATAGTATCATTTAATTTCCAGATTTATGTGAATTTCCAAAATTTGTCTAATTTAACTCCCTGCGGTCAAATAGTGTAGTTCCTGTGATTTTCAGGCATTTGAATGGATTGAGGGTTGTTTCATATTCTTGAATATGGTCTGTCACAGAAAGTGATGCAATTGTCCTGAAGAAGAATGTAGATTCGGCTGTTGGGTGGATTGCCATATGGACATCTGTTATTCTGATTAGTTTATCTTCATCCACTTTGTGCTGCCACCACAGAATATGCGAGACTGGGTCATTTATTACAAAAACAGCAAGATTTGTTTTTCACAGCTCTAGAGGCTGAGAAGTCTGGAGCCAGGGCTAAGGTCTCCTTGCGTCATGGCGGGGCAGAGGCGGAAGGGCAGAGACGCTGAGTGCCCTGGGGAGCTGTTTTGTGTCTTCCTGGGCCTTCTGCCCTTGTGAATTAATTACTTCTCAGAGGCTCCGCTTCCCAAAACGTCACACTGTGATTAAGTTTTCACCCAAGAATTTTGGAGGAAACTCAAACATTAAAATGTTAGCACATTGTTCAAGTCCTCTGTATATTTATTATTCTGCCTAGTTTTTCTAGTATTGAAACAGAGGTACCAAACTATTGTCCCTGAGTTGCTCCTTTTTTCCTTTAATCCTGTAATATTTTGCTTTATGAATTTTGGATCCTTCTAGGTGCATATTCATGTATTTTTCTTATATCTTCTGTCCTGACTAATACTGTTCCTATTATGAAATACACCTCTGACATTTTTATTTTAACATCTAGTTCATCCTATATCAATACAACCCCTCAGCCCTTTCAGGAGTGCTGTTTTCCTGAGATATTTTCTCTAACCTCTTACGTTTAACTTATTTCTTTCTTAAAACATAAAAATACAAAGTATCTTTCTATCTTGAAAACCATATATTGTTTCATCTCATTTTTTAATGTCATCAAGTCAAACGATCTGTATCTTTTGGCTGGAACCATTGACATGTAGTATTGTGGTTGCATGTCTGACATTTTGCTTTTATAAATGTTCTCTATATATGTTTATAGATATATAATTTCTTGTTCTATATATCTTACATAGTTTTCCTTCTGCTGTTCTCTTCCTTTAGCCTTTTCTTTATCATTACATCAAGGTTTTCGCATGAAACATTTTAATTAATTGCTTTTCTTTCACTTTTTAAAACGTAGCTGGATGTAGTGGAACGCGGCTGTAATTCCAGAGCTCTGGGAGGCTGAAGCAGGAGGATTGAAAGTTAGAACCCAGCCTAAGCAACATAGCAAATTAGCGCGAGTTTGTCTCAACCTAAAAAATATAGAAGGGATTGGGATGTAACTCAGTGTGAAGGCCCTGGGTTCAATCTCTAGTTCCAAAATAATAATAAAAATAATTTTCTAAGTCATTGGTCTAGGGCAGGGATGGTGAACCGTTTAGAGTTTTCAATGATAACAAACAGCTGGCTGCAGCACACATGCCATAGGTTCGCCACCACTCACCCGGGGCTTATCATATGTGTATTTTCAGACTATATTATATAATAAAATTGACAGTTATACTGAGTTACAGAACAATTACTCCTATAGAGCTCATTTCTCTCTTCGTTTTTGTCCCATTATTGTTACACATAATACTTCCACCTATATGACAAATTTAACCATAGGCAGGAATAATTGTCATTTTATAAAATTTTATTTTCATTGAAGAAGCTGAAGAAAGAAGGAGTTCACCTGAGATAGCCTACATCTATTGACACCACACTCAGCTGTTAGTAGTCACTAATTCCAATATGATTGTTCTATTCTTTGCAGTAACACCTTGAGAAATAGATTGCTTCACAGTGTTTATAGCTGCAGAAAGGCCCCCTGGAAGAGTCAAGGTTTTGCCCCTCTTGCAGGATGCTCAGAGCTAGGAAGGCTCCTCTTAGTCTCTTTCCCAGGTTCTCATGATTGAGCTCGTACGTCATCTGCAAGTTTTCTTTTAGTTGAGAGTGAGAGAGCTACAAGTCTCCTCTGAAAGGTTTAATTGATAACATCCATTGTGTTCAGAGTCTTAGACACAAAATTCCTGCACTCAGTGCCAAGTTAAGTAAGCGTCAACAGAGCTATGAGCTTTTCCTTCCAGTATGTGCTGCTTTCCTCTGACAGGAGCTCTGTGCATAGCATTGGGCCTGAAGTGGAGGAAGTCACCATTTTTCCTAGTGACATTCATCACAAACCAGTGGAGCATGAAGCAGAAGAGCAGCCCAGGGACAACTGCACTCACTCTATTGCCAGAGATTTTGGGCCCAGGTCGGTATCAGTCATCTATGTTTTAATACATACCCCAGGTGATCCTAAAAGCACGCTGGACAGAGGTACTTGAGTTCTGGTTATGCATCTGGTTCCTGTTGTGCATATAATAGTTTTTCTCCCTTCAGGTTGACCCTGAAGGAGGAAAGGAAGAGAGTATCACAATCTACTGAAACTGTAACAAAGCCACTGTGATAAAAACAGCATGGTACTGCAAAGAAACAGAGCTGAGGATCAGAGGAACAGATTAGAAGATGTAGAAACAACTCCAGACCTGCTCAGCCACCTCATCTTTGACAAAGGAGCCAAACACCCTCACTGGAGGAAAGATAGTCTCTTTAATAAACAATGCTGGAAAAACTAGATTTTTGCTGCCAAAGATTAAAACTAGACCCAGATCTTTCACTATGCACTAAACTAAAATTGAAGTGGATCAAAAATCTAAATATTAAAACAGAAACACTAAACTTGCTGAAAGATAGGTTAGGTAGAACTCTTGAAGACATTGGCATAAGAAAAGACTTGATGAACAAAACCTTAGTAGCATGGGAACTAGCACAAAGAATCAACAACTAGGATCTCATCTTTTTAAAAAGCTTTTGCACTGCAAGAGAAACCACCAACAGAGCTAAGAGTCAATCTACAGTGTGAGAAAAAAATTTTACCAGTAGATTTTTTAATAGATGGCTGGAGACAATTTCAAAGGCTTTAAATGGTTCATCTTTAAATTTTTTATCAGTTAAGTGGGTTTTGTTTTTAACTGGGAGAGATGTGAATCCACAGTGTTCTTCATGCCATTATTTCAATAATATACCTCAAATATCCCAGGGGTAATCTTACTTGCCTTAATATAACATCCTCATTTTGAATATTCTGCAATTTTGTGATAATTCGTACAATTGGACTTACTTATCTTGTTCATCACAATTATTTTCTCAATCTGAAATCTTTCTTCTTTTTTACAATTTGATGATGTTCTTAGCCTCTATGGTTAAAGTAATGACTTTTTTTATAAAGTCATTCTACTCATTACCCCTGAAATATTTGAGGTATGTTACTTAACTTTTATATCTCCTATATCTTAACTTCTCATTCATATTCATAAGCTCTTCTCTAATTTAAAATGCAACAGGATCATGTGGAGTATTTATTAAAAGGTAGATTGCTGATGCCCATCTTCATATTCACTAATTTTATAAGTCTGGAGTAGAGCTTAGAACTTTTATTGCTAACAAGTTCTCAGGAGAACTGGATTTTGAGATCACTTTAATGTCTCTGTCTAGAATTTCAGACAATCCCCTCAATTTTATCCTTCAGTTATTAAGTGTCTTTTTATTATTCTGATTTGCTATTTATAATCTATTATGTTTTAAATTTCAATGACTAGTCTTCATTTATAGAAATTCAATTTTTTAAAAATCTCTGCTATTGTGGCTGATTTTCTTCATCATTTGATCATCTTTTAACCACTTTAACTTGCTCATTTTATATTCTCTTGCAGATTTTCCTATTCTATCAAGTTCTGTGATTCTAATTCTTTTTGTTTTGGCAATAGATTCTCCATTAGGAAGGAACAGTTCCTTATGTGTGGGCTACTTTTGATGCCATGTCATCCTTGGCAGAAGCGATTTACCCATGGGAGTTTTGCTCATACTGAGTTACAGTAATTTCTTTTTCAATTGAGGGAGGATTTATTTTTGCCAAGATTGTAATAAGCCTGAGTCTATTATAATTTTTCATCACCTACTTCATATGCAGTGTACATAGTATAAATGTGGGCACCAATTCTGGGTTCTATGTGGAAATATTTTGTTTGGAATTTACCTCCTGGTCTCTGGATAAGTAGCAGATCAGAAGAGTTTCCCAGTCCATTTCTCATTGAAGGGGCTTGGCGTGTGTGTGTGTGTGTGTGTGTGTGTGTGTGTGTGTGTGTG